GTTGCCAGGTCGGCGCCTGTGTTCGGGCTAGGTTGTCAGGTCGGCGCCTGTGTCCGGGCCAGGTTGCCAGGTTGGCGCCTGTGGCAGGCTGATCCGGCCAGGTCGCGCAGGCCGCGCCAGGCCGCGTGTAGGTCGCGCCAGGCCAGCCAGACCAGTGCCCGGGGGGACACCAACTTGGTAAATTGTTGCCTGGGTGCTTGCCTAATTGTCACGAGGTGCCACGTGTCACAATTTCACTGGAGGGCCAAATCTGCCCTCATCAGTTATTGAAACATGTTTTCTTGGCAAGATATCCCAACTTCAATTTCACCCTTTTTCAACCCCAAAATTGGAACATTTTGTCTGGTTTTTCTTATTATACTTTTTTTACCATAATTCTTCACCCCACATTTATTCAAAAAAAGTTTCTATATTTTTGTCTTGGGTACTATGGCGCAAAATTGCACCATACACGAAAAAGTGAACCAATCACGTTAAATACAACACATGTTTACTTATCTTTTCCTTGGTTCAGATTAAAAATGTTACGTGTTTTGTCAACATTTTTACTTCATGATGCAATTTTTGCACCTAGCATTTGCCTTTTTGTCTATATTCTATTGCATATGAGTAGTTTCGGCCACTGAGATTTTTTTTTTTTTTTTTTTTGGGTTAAAGGCAAATATCATTGAACCAAAACCAGAAAAAAGAGAGAAACAACCAGACAAATAAAAGAAAACAAAGCAACAGAGAAAAAAAAACCGCAAAAAAGAAAACAGAGAAAGGCATTAAGAAGGGATTAGATCCCTCAGGATCCATCGGGCCTGAGAGCCAAATCGGACAAGCATCCTTCCAGCAACCTGCAGCAAAATGAAGACAGTTTTTAACGACAGAGGGCACTAAGGTGAAAGAAATTGTTGAGATACGAAAGGATATATATATATATATATATATATATATGTTGAGAAAGAAGAGAGTTATATTATGTGTGGTCTCTATACCTTCTGTTAGGGGTGAGAAAAAAAAACCGAAAAATTGAGCTAAGTCAAAAAATCGGTTGGTTTGGTTTTGATTCTGTGTTTTTAAAAAACTGAAAGTATCGGTTCAGTTTTGGTTAATCAATACCAAAAAACTGGTGGTTAATCAAACCAACTGGTATACATATATTTCTATATATTTATGTATATTATATATTATATATATTATAAATTAATAAATATGTATTATATATAAATATATATTTATAATATATAATATATTATTTATTATTTAAAATGTAATATTTTATATATATTTATAATTTTTATTATATATATATTTATAATATATATAGTAAAAATGAAAAACGATAAACTGAACCGATTAACCGACTGACTTTGGTTTGGTTTCAGTTACTGATTTTCCAAAAACCGATAATACCAGTTAGGTTCCAAAAAGAGCCCCACCTAACCAAACCGTGAGCACCCCTACCTTCTGTTTCCTTTTGCACTTACCCTTCCCTTTCGTAAAAGGTTTTAGGCTTTTTAAAAGCACTAGAGTAAAGGGTTTAAACAATTTTCATAAATTGACTTAAATATGCCCTCAATTTTTTTTATTCTTTTATCCCTCAGTTTCTTTCAAAATTTCAAAATACAGCTTGGCCAATGGACTGGTTCTTTTACCTTGTGAGTTTTTTATTGCATATTTACTTTAATGAATTGAAACACATGTTTGTTTGCAGAGGGGATGAAGAATTAGAGGATACAACGTTTTAAAAAGTGACCTAGAAAGGGAACCGTTTTCGGCACCGGTTTCTGGGTCAATGGTCCCATCGTCCAGTTTGAACAAACGGCCCATTCTAACAACAAAATTAAAAAATTAAAAACCGCCAAAAACCATTGAACGGGTTAACAGTTCGATCACCCGGGTCAATGGTTTGTTGACTTTTTCAATGATTTTTGACCAGATTTTAGGTTTTGGATGAAACAGAACTGATTGCCTGTATGGTTCCCGGGTGAAACGGTCCAGCCATCTGGGTCAATGGCGGTTCAAAAACGTTGAGAGGACATGTCACTTTTAACTTGGAGATTGGGTGGGAAAGGTGAAAGCAGTACTCTATCACTATCAATCTATTCCAGGTTAGTGACACTAGGTTACCAACTGATTCGGATGCCATATTGCCATCCATCAAAAATTCAAAACCCAACTATTTATTAAGCACCCTAGCTTTTCCCATTTATTGTATAAAATCTCTGCATTATCGAAGTTGGATTGGTTGGGCTCAAGCTTGCCACACCAACTTAAAATTGCATTTATTATCTTTCTTTCTCTTTTAACCAAATCAATCTGTTGGTCATCTTTTTTCCTTTTTTCTTTTTCTTTTTTTTTTTCTCTCTTCCCATTTCTTTCTCTCTTCTTCTTCCCACCCAAAAAGATAAAATAGGATTTTTAAAATTTTAGATGACTTCACATGTGGTTTTTCATTGATCGAAGGTGTGTTTAAATCCAATGGGTCACCCCACAAGTTATATTTGAGGTATTATTTGGTAAGTCTTTTTTAAAAGTAACAGCCAAAAGATATAGTGGACTATTACATAAAGATCTTGGCAGACCATAAACTGTTTGGTTGAAAGTGCATCTTTCTGCGTGAAAACAGAACAAAAAAAGTGAAAATGTTCCATTTAGAGCTTCCCAAAAATAATCTGAAACGAGCTTTCCATATCTTTTTTAAGAGGAGTCTTTCGGTGGCTAAATCTTCTCTCAACCAAATAGGAAAAGATAAAAATATAGACTGCCACGCTTCTAAACAGCTGACAATTCGTGCAAAAAGACACGTTAAATGGGGCATAAGTCTTTTTGAAAAACTCAGGATACATATAAATCAATTTTGAAAATTCAAGATATATTTAAGTCTTTTACCAAATCATTATTATCATCATCATTCGATCCTTATCCCAATGATACGGGGTCAGCTACATGAATTACTACTTCAACCTATGCCCTTTTGGTCCACCCCTATCCCATCTAGCCCCTTCAATTTACAATTAGTGTTTTAAAATCTCGGACCAAATCAATTGGTCAGACCAATTAAACTAAGGCTGTTCACAAAATTCTAGAAACCGATTAAACCAATCCGACTCAACCTAGATTGGTCGGTTTTCAAAAATGTCGGTTCAGTTCCGGATTTAAAAATTACAAAACCCAAATATTCAGTTCGGTTCCCAGGTTATGCTTATGTAACCCAAACCGAAACCGAATTGAAATACATTCTTCTAAGTCATTTTTATCCCCATACTACCCCTGTCAAGAAAACCCCACATAACCTAATGTATTTCTTCATTTGTGTAGGACCGTTTTCCATCGGGGCGGGAACTCACAACCAGACCCCTCAATTCTCAACACTCAAATCTCAAGCTTGAAACCTCAAGCTTCTGTCTATGAGGTATTTATTCCGGTTTCTGTTCATTTTTTTCATTCCCAAAAACAAAAGTGGAGAGAAAATGGATCATATTTTCTTGCGTTTCCTTCCATCAGGAGTGGTGAATCGGTGATTAGGGTTTTTTCTTGGCAAGGGGTACAGGGGAGTCCATCGTTCAAGAATATCTTTTGGTGTTCAGCAATGTCTATTAACATCACTTCTGAAGTTTCAAAAGCATGTTTTCTTGGGTTTCAGACTGTAGACCTCAACCGACCATCGCAGTTTGATAATCCAATTACTACCTTCCAAAAAAGGGAAATGGGGATTTCTTTGCAAACGCCTCCGGCCCTCCACAAAGTGTGTCTCAATTTTTTTTGTCAATTGCCATGAACCATTGTTTTGAATATTAGTCTATTTGTTTTTCTTTTTAATTTTTTTCTTTGCATAAAACAACCATTCGTATAATTTTTTTGTTATGTTCATGTTTCCTTTTCTTTTGTTTATGTGATGTGATTATTTCTTATGATTTCATATAAAATCTGTTCGTGTGGGCTTATCCTGGACCAGAGATCAATTCTGGCAGAAGTGATCACTGATCAGCACTATCTCGACGGAGAGAAGCAATAGAATGTTCCAGAACAAGGAAAAAGTAGGCAGCCTCTTTTCCGTTTCTTCTGGCAAGGTGGTGGTGTCTTGGACTGCATCGGTTTCCAAACCAGGGTGTTTGGAGCCCATCTGTACTCTAAGCCTGTTTGAGTTATAAATTTATAATGTATTCGGGCCTAGTTTTGGCCCTTAATAGGGGCCTATTTGTATCCTGATCTTAATAAATTTACCTTATCTTTTTCAAAAGAATCTGTTCTGTAATTTCTTATGATTTTTTGTATTTGATATAATACAAAAATGAAATAATCACATAAGAATTTCATTAAATGGTTGCTGAAATCGATATGTAATTTCTTGTGATTTTTTTTTTGTTGAGCATTCCGTTTGGTTAACCGATCAAACCGACCGAGATGCAAAACAAATTCTAACATCAGTTTTTGGTGTTTAACGGTCAGTTTCAGTTGCCACAATGGTCAATTCGATGAGCCCAGATTTCCTATTCATTTTTTCTACCTGCCGTGAATTGGAGCCACACATCTCTCAATTTATAATAGAGATGTGTGGCTCCAATTCACGGCGGGTAGAGAATGGGTAGGAAAAATGAGTAGAAAATCCTGACTGCAATTCGATAGTATCGGTTCAGTTGGCACAGTTAAGTGAAACCGAGCCAAACTAACCCATGTTGAACTGTGACGCAGGGACTGAACGAATTGAAACTTCAAAATGATAAGGCTTGGACTAATAACCTTTTATTTATGTGTATTGCTTTGTTATCATTGATCCATTTACTTAGTTGTATTCATTTAAGACTCTTTAGTCTTTAATGTATATATTGTTTTAATTTACATACATTTTAAAGAAAATATAAGTGAAAGGCTTGAACCATAGTCATTTGTTTTAAAAACTAAGAATTAGCCATCTATTCACAACATTTAAATATGATATTATTTGTAAAATATATTTTATAGTGACCCAGGGTGTATATACACACGATTTAAACTTTTCCTCTTCCTGTTTTATGCCTAATCTGGTTTTCTGAACATTGCTTGCAATAGAGCATTTCTTGCATGTTTTGTCGATATTCAATGCACATGACTAAACCATCTTAGTCAGTTTTCTTTCATTTTATCACCAATTAGGTGATTTTGTTCCAAACCTATCCTTTAGGCTATCTTTGATTTGAAGGAAAGGTATGGAAAGGAAGAAAAAAGTTAGGAAACCTATACAATGTTTGTAATAGTTTCCTTGCCTTTCCCTACCTTATATTTCAAACCAAACATAGCCTTATAGTTTTTCTATTCATCCATCTTAACATACACATTTTTAGCTACCATGCTCAATTTTCGAACATATTGTTTCTGGATTGGTAAAATACTTTGCTCTAGCATGGCATTTCCATCATCAATCACCATTTAGTTCCCATATCATTCTCAGTAAATAATGATGGATAATCCTCGTGTAGTAATGAATAAAGGGCATATAAGGGCAACTTTTGGGGTTTAATATCAATAAAAGTAATATTTTTAAAAAAATTTCAAAAATAGGTTAACTTTTTAAAAATAATATCAATAAAGGGCAAAAACACTGTTCATCATCTTCTTCTTGCCATTTGTTCACCAACGCCGCCACTTGCCACTGCCGTCCATCGCCGCCTCCACCTCCGGCAACGTTGTCGGAGGTGGCCGGAGGCAGAGGTGGCGGTGGCGGCACTGGTGGTCATTTCTCTGCCCAATGCCGCCGCCTCTGTCTCCAGCAACGTTGCCAGAGGTGGGTGGAGACAAGAGGTGGTGGCAACGGCGCTGGGCAGAGGAATGACCACCAATGCCGCTGCCGCCGCCGCTACCACCTCTGCCTCCGGCCACCTCCGGCAATGTTGCCGGAGGCGGAGGCGACAGCGGGCAGCAGCAGACGGCGATGGCGGGCGGCGGCGCTGGTGAACAAATGGCAAGAAGAAGATGATGAACAGTGTTTTTGCCCTTTATTCATATTATTTTTAAAAAATTAACCTATTTTTGATTTTTTTTTAAATATTAATTTTATTGATATTAAACCCCAAAAGTTGCCCTTATACGCTATTACCCCAAGAAAGTATGAAAGCAATCTGCAAGAGCCTAAACTTTTAAGGGCAGATACTATCTAGGGCCTAGGGGGAAGTTGAGGGACATTAGATCTAACCATCCCGAGGCAAGGTTTTACAGGTATTACCGTATTATCCCTAGGACGAAAGGCAGTGCGATCACCTATTCTCCAATTTCAACTAAGGCTCAGTTTGGAAAGAATGTAAATAAAATATGTACAACACAAAGCCTTGTTTTTTGCATTTCTAAACCACTATCATATTTGTAATTGCACTCCTTCCAAACTGAGCCTATACATATTCAAACCTCAAATAATTGTAACAACAATTAAAATAGTACACTTTATTTTGTTCTGAAGCAATCATATGCCATAATTGAGAGAGAGAGAGGAAAGAAGAAAGCACTTCAAGAGCTTTGCGTATTTAGGGCCATTTCAAGTTTAGTTATTCCACGAAAATTCAGTATACTTTTTTATGTCTTCTCTCTATCTCTCTCTCATGAAAATAAGAAAAACAAGTAAATTAGTAGACCTACATCTTGGAAGAAGGTTTCTTTGAACTCCTACCAGCTATAAATTTCTGCATTTCCTCAAACTGCTCCTTAGTCATTCCATCGTAATAGCTATGAGCTCTTTCCTAAAAATATAGAAATGATAAACAGAAAATAATCAGCCATACCGTCTTGTGGTACATAAAAATTTGTGAACTCAAAACACCAAGGAAAGAAGCCATCAAGCTATCAGCATTATGCACCCAAATAAACAGGTAGCAAAGGGAAAAAAATGAGTTTTAGTCATGATACTCCATAGAGATTTTCTATTTTTTCTTCTATTTGGCTAGCTTATATATATATATATATATATATATATATATATATATAAATTCAAGAGAGGGTTCACGCATCAAAGACACAACTGGACATTCTTGTAGGCATCCCCAATTTTCTGTAGTAGTGATCATAAACATGGCCTGACAATATAGACAGTTAATAAGCAGCTGAATCCAAAAAGACTTGATACACAAGCCCCATCATGCCAACTATTGAACTATGGAAAGTTGGAAACAACTGGCCATGGCCCAAAATAGTAGTCACCTTCTGTTTACTGTCCAATTTATAGATGGTAAGACTGTGCTGCTAAGGTGAATGAATAGAAATGTAAGGGAGGCTCATAACCTATAAATTACATCTATAGGGAGAATTTCAGGACATGAAAACGATGCAAATATTAGGAACTGTTGTTTATAAATCACACTTGGAGATATATATATAAATATATATATAACTAACCAGAACAATCAATTTCCATCACACCATCCATTAATTTTTCCATCTATCCAATTAATATGATGTGTAGGTCTTCAGAGATACTATGGAAAGCAAACTTATAAGACAATAACACTAAAATGGAAAGAATTCTCACCTTCTCTAGTGAAAGTGCATGACCCAAGTCTAGTTTGAGGCCATCATTTATGACTGCCTTGTACCTCAAAACCAAGTCCTGATTGTTTTTTATTATGTTTTCTGCAACTTCCCGTGCTTTGTTTAACAATTCACTTCCTTCAACTACATGGTTCACCAGCCCCCACCTCTCTGCCATTTCTGCACTTATGGGCATGGCTGTTAGAGACACTTCACGAGCTTTGTTTGGTCCTATCATGCGTGACAATTTCTGAGAAAGACCCCACGAAGGAAATATACCAAACCTGCAATGAATTTTATCACAAGAAGTGCTAGGTCTATCAAGGGCGAGGATTAAAGTATCACGGTAAAGAATGAGGAGATCAAGACAGGTAGATGGATTATTTTTTCACAATTATAATAAAATTCTTCTTGAAATATCAAAATTAGGAGAAACCTGTAGCTCTACTATGACTGGAAGACATGGCATCTTCGTGGAACTGAGGCTTTCCAGACTGAAGAGGCTTTAACAAGGATGAATAAAGAAAAATGTTATGATAATAGTGTCCCAATAAAAGTTTGGAAGCTTATGAGAGAAGTGATTTACTATCGTTGAAAACTGTATAATAAGATAATGAGAACATTGCAGTGCAAGATCAATAGAGAAGAAAATCTGGGTTTTGTGTGCAAGAAAAAAGATGTTGTGCAAAGTTAGTTATATTAGCTATTGGGATAGTTGATGAACCCTACCGTAAAACTTTTGGGAAAACATGCATAATATAAAATTAGCTTAGATTTATGGTCAGAAGATAAACTGTGGTAACCATGCTTTTATTTGGGGAATTGAAGGAGGATGACATCTCTGCATGGCATTTTTTGTAACACACGAATAGCTTATGATATTCAGATAGCATCATGGGTTTTGAGGGAAAAAATTGCAGCCTCAGAGGATCTCCACATGGAAACAGGTTTGTCAGTTGAGTTGTTGAGAGAATAACCCTGAATGACCAAGGACTTCCCCAGATGGTGAGGTTGTATTGGGCCCAAAATAGCCCAACTTGTTAGCCTGCCTCCTCAGTCCTCATTGTAATAGAACAAAATTTAGCTTGAAAACACCGCCATGTCCTGAACAATCCCAGTAATTTTTAAACTAAAAGAATTAGAAGCATAGAAAGCTAATTTTAATTGATGACCATATGCTTTATGTTGATCTCACACCTCCGTAAGTCATCTCCTGAACTTTGCCAAAAAAAACCATTTTAGACCCTAAAGAATTAAAAAAAGGCATTTTCACCCTCAAACTATGATAGAAAGCAATCGGGATTCCCTGCCCACTCTCTACCCGTTGTGAATTGGAGTCACACATCTCTATTATGAATTGAGAGATGTGTGGCTGCAATTCACAGTGGGTAGGAAAAGTGAGTAGGAAATCTGGGACTATTTTAAAATAGACGACATTTGAAATGTCATTGACAGATCCCTTAGACAACAAATAAAATAATACAGCATGCTTATGTGGCATTGTTCAAGTTTAAAAAGGCCATTTTAATCAAGTTAATTAAGTTACTTCAGGGTCTATGATGGTATAAAGTTAATTAACTAAATTAAATACCTTATATTAATTAAGGTAACTAAGTAAATTAAGCCAATTATATAAATTATAAAATTGAATAAGTAAATTAAATTAATGAAGGAAACTAAGTTAACTAAGTAAATTAAATAAATAAATCTAAATAAATAAATTAAGCTAATTAAGTAAGGTTTTAAAAACCGACCCGAAAACGAAACCGTTTCAACAATTGATTTTCAGGTTAGTGGTTTGACCATTCGGTTTGAGCAGATCAGTCTATGACATTTTAAAAAATAAAAATAAAATAATTAAAATAAAAATGACTTGAAAGTCATTCATTGGGTTGAACAGTTTAGCGGCTTAATCATTTAGGTTAGTGGTTTACTGATCAAGTCAACGCTCTTTTGGAAAAGGCCAAGTATAAAATGGAACTGGGCAGTTGATTAGTTCCTAGGTTGAATGGTTTGACCGCCCAGGTCAATGACAATTTTAAAACTATGCGACTAAATGAATTAATTAATTGATTAAGTAAATTAAGCTAAGTAAATAAAGCAATTGAAGAAATTAAGCTAAATAAACTAAATAGGTAAATTAAGTCAACTAAGTGAATTAACTATTTGATTAAGTAAATTAAGCTAAAGTAACAGTTAAATAATAAAAGCTAATTAAGGTAAGTAAGTAAATTAAGTAAATAAATTAATTAAAGGAATTAAGTAAATTGAGTAATTAAGTTAACTAAATAAATTAAGTGATTCTTAATTTACTATTAGTTAAGTTAATTAATTAGTGTTTAAGTAATATTTTATTCTTAATCACTGTTAAATCATTTATTAGACCGTGCCGGGCTAGCTAGAAATAATCATCCCTAGTCGAAAGCGAACCAAGTCCATCACTAGCTAGTTGCGTACACGCCACCAATCCAGATTCTTTTGGGGTGAAAAATGCTTTGGCTCTTTCAGATGCGTATACTGTTCAGTTCACCCCGCAAACTTTAGCTCTATCGTCCAGGTGCCAGCTCGAAATTCATGCCAAATTGTCAATATACGAGCGCCTCACAGGCGCACAGTCAATGAAAGAGATGCGTTGCTCATGTTTGAGATAATCTTAAAACCTTGACATGATAATCTCCGTGTTTCACCGACGGATGGTCCTAGGCTACAAGGCTACAATTGTCTTGTTAAAGGGGGAGAGACAGTGAATACAATTTTGGGTGTAAGAGAATCAGTGCGAGCACATTTGTCTAATGGTTCTGAGTTCTGATTGGTACTTTGGACGGTGTATTAATTGCAGACTTCGAATCGATTAATTGTAGTGAAAACAACAAATCAATAATCTGTTTGAAAAAGGAGAAAATACGCACAGAGAAAACTTTTGTAAAGAAGAGAGAGAAAACCTACTTGGCATGAGTATCGATGAATTTGGCTCCTTTTGCAGCGATCAAAATGTCGCAGGCGAGGGCAATCTCGAATCCCGCGGTAACGGCGAAACCGGAAATGGCACCGATGATCGGTTTCTGACAGTTCTCCATCTGATACACTGCATCAATTTCGACGTCCTTCACATCTCCCTTAAAGACGTCATTTGCAGCCGTCAAATCCACCCCGGAGCAGAACGCCCTCCCAGACCCCGACAAGACAATTACCCGCACTGAGTCATCCTGGTCCAAGCTCTTGAAAGCCCTTGCCAGATCCGCAATCATCGATCTCGTGAGCGAATTGAGGGATTTCGGACGGTTGATCGTCACGAAGGCGATTCCCGTCGGTTCCCGATCTACCAATATCAACCTTTCCGGCGAAGATTGTTCCATATTTATCCTATATTTTGGCAGTTGCAGAAGGGAGGGATGGGTCTTTCGATCTTGGTAATATCCTTTTTTTCAAGTCTGCGTTAGGTCGGACATCATCGGTCGGAGATATGATTCGTTCGCACCACTGAGTTCACATCTCCCGCACTCTCTTGTGACACCGATGAACTACCAACAGGTCCAACACTGCAATAGACTCCGTTTTTGTTTTTTATCACCGATGTCTGTGTTTTATTGCGGACCTGATCCGGACTCTATTTTATTTATTTATTTTGGTATTGACGTAGGGTGATTTGGCATGACCTCGTATCACGCGGACACGAGGACATGACGTAGCATGAACAACAATTCACCATCACAGTTTGGCCACAATCTGGCGTAACAAGTTCGACGAATCCCGACCAAGCGACTCAACGGGAGTAACAGCTCGCTAGGAGGCAAGGCTCAGTTCGCCCCAAGCGCAAGGTCTAAGCGCCCCGAACTCCCGTAGCCCTAAGGGACCCGAGCTCCCCACGAAGGAGCACGAGCTCCCCTTGAGCCCTGAGCTCTCCTCCCCTAGGGAGCCCTGAGCTCTCCTCTCCTAGGGAGCCCCGAGCTCTCCTCTCTTGAGGAGGGGGCATCTCAGCTTTTGGCTAAGTGTCCCGAGGGAGAAGTATTTTGGGACTGCATCCGCAGAATCCGTACCTACCAGATCAAAATAGTTTGGCAGTCTGTAGGGAAGATTCGCCTGACATCCGTACCGGCCGGATCTGGTGGCAGTGCCCACATCTCTTGCCAGGCGGTGTCATGCCTGCTGTCCCTGAAAAGCATAGCACGCCTGACAAGTCCGTACCCTGCAGCAGCAGCCCGCAATGGCGGCCGGCACCTGCCACCTCAGTCCTGGCAGTAACGGCTAGGGCAGTGATGGTTACACCTGATGTGACCGACCACTCTCTACTCTCTCTTTGAGATCTTCCCCAGTTCTAACTTAGCCGTCGGAGTGTTCCCACCGGGATATTTCCTCGGGAACCCTTCACTTTCTCCTTTCTCTCAGGTCGTTCGTTCCAATCGGAAGCCAGGTCACAACCAGCTAGGAGTGCCCAGATCGTGCAGCATCATTTGGCGTCATCTGTGGGAAGCGCTTCAAAAGGCCTTCCTGTAACTTCTATACAACTCTCTTCAAAGAACTATTCAGTATCATCAACACCTATGGCTTCCTCCAGCAACACCAAACGCCGGAACACCCCTGAGGAACAACTCCAGTTACCCACCGTCTACATCAGCTAGTTCACCGTCCCTCTCTCTGTGGACGGGGTCCCTAGTCTAACCATCCTCCCTCCGATGGCACCCGTGACTGTTCCACTGCCCTCTACAGTCGGAACAACCTTCGCTGAACCCACCATCCTCCCTTTGGTAGCTAGCCAAGGTTAGCTCGAGGATCTAATGCAGTGCATGCGAGCCATGCAGGCTCAGATGCAACAGTTCCAGCAACTCTAGTCCCACCAGCAGCAAGTACTGCACCAAATGTCTCAGTACCAATATCAGCAACAGTTCCCTTCACTCCCCCCCCCCGACATCCGGCGGCGCAGCCAACTAAGCCTCAATGCTGCAGTGAACTCCCTTCCCGCCGGGGATAGACTTCAGCATCATCTCACGGAAGAAAGGGGAGGCTCCCTACCCCCGTCGTACTGCCCGCAGTCAGGTCGGGGATTTCCCATCCGGTTAGGCCGGCGTCACCCCAGCACTCGCAGTTCGAGCCTTTGCTCGCGGAGAACAGGTTCGAGGTGCTAGCCGGCAACCTGGAACAAGGTCCTTCTGTCCGCAGCTACCGGCAGCCATCCCTACCTCCCCCTGGGCCCGTCGAGCTCAGCAATACAGAAGTCGGCAGCAACGCCGAGCCGACCAAGAAGTAGCGAAGACGTCGCTAGTCTCGCCGAGCTACCACCGTGCACAGCCTGCCCGAGCTCAAGGGCAAAATAGAAATAAGCTCGGGAGAGGTAAGAGCTGCACCACTCCTCTCGGTCCCCTCTCCTCTATCCTCGGAGCTCCTCGCGGTCCCCATGTCCAAGGACTTCAAGCTCCCTCGGTTGGACAAATACGATAAGTCCTTCGACCCCAACGACCACGTCGACGCCTTCCAGTCCCAGATGCATCTGGACAGGGCGAGTGAATCTTGCATGTGTGTGGCCTTCTCTACTACGTTCAAAGGAGTAGCCCGCACTTGGTACCGAAACCTCTTGCTGGGCTCGATAAGGAGCTGGGCGCAATTCGTGAAGGTCTTCACCTCCCACTTTGTCACTAGCAAGAGATGCCCGAGGACCCAAGAAAGCCTTCTCAGCGTAGTCTAGAGAGATGGGGGAGTCCATCCGAAACTATATCAATCGGTTTAATGACGCTTGCTTGTAGATACCCGACCTAGACCCTATAGTTCGGCTCACTGCGACCAAGCGGGGCATCACACACAAGGAGTTTAGATGGCACGTGGTTGTCAACCAACCCAAGACCGTGACCGAGTTCCTCGAACTGGCAGATTGGTTCATAGGGACAAAGGAGGAGATCAACCAAAAGGGCGAGCACGCCCCCGAAAAAAGAAGGGAACTGGTACCCCCGGCTCCTAACGGCTACAAGAAGAAGAAGGATCAAGCTCGGGGGGCAAACCCGATTCAGCATTTCAGAGCTCCAGCAGCAGAAAGGGTGTTTACACCCCTCAACACGAAGCGGGCCGAGATCCTCATGGCAATCAAGGACGCCCCGTATGTAAAGTGGCCACCTCGGCTCAAGGCCGACCCTAATGTTAGGAACAAGAACTTGTACTCTAGTTTCCATAGAGATCACAGTCATAGCACCGAAATTTGTAATAACCTCCGCGATGAGATAGAAGAGCTCATCCGTCGTGGATATTTGAGAAATTTTGTACATCATGGCAGTAACAATAAAGCAGGTCGGCAAAGGGAATAGAGTAAAGAAGCTCCCAAGTCCAGCAGACAGGCAGAGCAGCCGTAGAGGCAGCCTCCCGATGAGAGACCAGTCAGGGGGACCATCCATGTAATCGTCGGAGGATCGGTTGTCGCGGGCTACACTTCGGCAGCAGCTCGGTCATCAGCCCGCAAGGCCGTCAGAGAAGAGCTTAACCCCCCAAAACGGCCAAGGGTGGAGAAACCGATCTTTTTCACCGAAGACGATGCGCGAGGGGTCCATTATCCCCACGATGGCGCGCTCGTCATAAAGATCAAGATCAACGACTTCGAGGTCAAGCGCATCATCAACTCGGGTAGCTCAGCAGACATCCTCTTCAAGGCAGCCTTCGACCAGCTTCAGCTCACGGAAAGCGACATGAAGCCCGCAAGCACTCCACTGGTAGGATTCAACGGCGAGGAGGTCAGGCCTTTAGGAAGAGTCACTGTAACGATAGAGGTCGGTACCTGGCCCAGTGTAGTGAGGCTCACTCACGAGTTCCTGGTGGTCGCGACCCCCTCCCCGTACAACGCAATAGTAGGACGGCCCACCACCCATGCCCTGCGTGCGGTAGTTTCCACCTACCACCTAGCGATGAAGTTCCCTACAGACTTTGGAGTCGGAGTGACACGAGGTGATCAGCTCGAGTCCCGCAAGTGCTACGTAGTCGCCCATAAAGGAAAGGCCAAGGTAGCTGACGACATCGAGCTAGAACGTCCTGCGGAGCAGTTCGTGGAGCGAGCCACACCTACCGAGGAGACCATCCCCATCCCGGCTTCGACAGAAGACCCAGCTCGGGTACTTCAGATCAGCGCTTCTGTTAAGGAGCCCCTGCGATCTCAACTGGTAAGCTTCTTACTTGAAAATTTAGATGTTTTTGCATGGTCAGCGGCAGAAATGCCCGGCATAGACCCCAACATAATCACTCATAGACTCAAACACTGATCCTGTAGTTAGGCCCATTAGACAGAAAAAATGCAACTTAGCCCTAGAAAGATGGAGGGCAGTCGATGAGGAGGTCGAGAAACTCCTTGCAGCCGATTTTATCAGGGAAGTCCATTACCCGAGCTGGGTGGCCAACCCCGTTATGGTGAAAAAGGCTAACGGTAAGTGGCGCATGTGCGTCGACTACACCGACCTGAACCAAGCTTGCCCAAAGGACTGCTTCCCACTTCCTAGGATTGACCGTCTAGTGGACGCGACCTCGGGGCACGAGTTGTTGAGCTTTCTGGACGCCTATTCGGGCTACAATCAAATCAAGATGGACCCAGCTGATGAAGAGAAAACTGCCTTCCTAACCGAGTTCGGCCTATACTGTTACAAGGTCATGCCCTTCGGGCTGAAAAAAGCTGGGGCCACTTTTCAAAGACTTGTAAACAAGCTGTTTGAGCCACTAGTTGGCAAAAAAGTAGTGTTATGTAGACGACATGGTCGTAAAAACCCAATTTTCACATGAATGAATACAAGATTTACATTCAATTTTTGAAATTTTGCGTAGACCTCACTACAATCTCAGCCGAGGCCCCAGGCTCCCTAAGTGGTAGGGACTCCTCCAAGTCGATGATTGGAGGAGCCCCAGGGAGCTCGGGCTCAGAGATTGGGGCTTGTGGAAGCTGGGGCTCAGGAGTGGGGGCAGGCGGTGACTCAATATGAGCTCTCTTGGCAGCCCGCTTCTTCCTCCCCTTCATATGCTTAAAGAGCCGGTCTCCCTTGAGTTTATCTGCCTCCATAGGACCTGCAAAAGAGTTCGGCGTTAGTACTAGAGTAAAAGAAGGAAAAGAAGAGTAGGCCAAACAACTAAGGTACTAACTACCTACCCGAGCTCAAGCCGGCTTGGAAGAAAATACTCTCTTTGATATAATCTCTAAAATCACAGCCGAGCTCAGCCCACGATTGGAATGCCTCCCTGGTCTTCTTGTCGAGTATGACGCCAGGGTCTTGGATAGCCGCCCTCTAGTGAGTAGGGAAGGGCCACCCCGCAGGATTCCGGACTACGAAGTAGTCCTGCTTCCAGGCTGGGATCTTGCTAGGAAGCTTGTGCATTAGCTTAAAGCCCGGGCGGGGGGACAAGTAGTAAGCCCTCATTTGCTCAAGGAGAACACATGAAGCGCTCTTCTTGATGGTCAAGATGGAGCAGAGTATGTCCAAGTCAAGGGACATGACATACTCATAACAAAGAGAGATGGTCCCGACCACGTTACGGACCGAGTTCGGGTGAAGCTGGTCTATCGTAACGTTGAAGTGTTTCAAGACCTCCACTAAGAGTGGATGGAAGGGAAGACGCAGCC